AGAGAGAGAGAGAGAGAGAGAGAGAGAGAGAGAAAGAGGGAGAGAGAGAGAGAGAGAGGAGAAGAGAGAGAGAGAGAGAGAGAGAAATAAATAAAAACGTAAAAAGGAAAGTCTAATATGACTTATGAATATAAGTTAAATCCCAATCAAATGAAAGTTTTCTTGTTAGATTTTCTTTTTACACTCAGAACTCTGTTTGAACCTGATATTAATCTGACAGAAATATTCCACATCAAATGAGAACAGAACTTTCCAATCCTAAGTCATCAGGAATCATTTTGCAGAGCACTTCGCTCTCAGACTGCAGGTTTACTTGTGGTTCCTGGAGTTTCTAAAAGTAGAATTGGAGGCAGAGCTTTCAGTTATCAAGCTCCTCTCTTGTGGAACCAACTTCCAGTTTCTGTCCGTGAGGCTGACACTCTGTCTACTTTTAAGATTAGACTGAAGACTTTCCTTTTGGATAAATCATATAGACGTAGGTTTCCTGAGTTATTCCTTAGTTATTATAGTTAATCAGTTCTGCTGCAATAGGTTTAGACTGCTGGAGGACAAACTGACCAATTTCATCACTCAGCTGTTGTCTTTACTTGCTTTAATCTACATGTTTGTTGCTGTAATGGTTTATGTTTTTAACATGTTATTTTGACTTTCTTCATATAAAAAGTCACACCTGGACCAGTCTTTCTGTCTCTTTCCTGTCCTCTAAAACCCAGACAGTCTAAGCAAATGGTGGCTCATTCTGAGCCTGGTTCTGTTGGAGGTTTCTTCCTGTTAAAACTGAATTTTTCCTCTTAATGTGCTGCTCAGGATGAGAGACTGTGATGAAGTGAAGATTTAAAGCAATTAGCTGGCTTCCTGAGATAACTTTTACTAATAATATATGTGAATGTTTTTGTATGGTGCCCTGACATGACTTTTGTTGTGACTTGGTGCTATACAAATAAACTGAATTAAATTAAATTGATTTTTTATTAGATTATCAGTGCTCCATCATCCCATGTTTCATTTTAGAGATGAATAAGGACATGAATACTTTAATAACAGGACTTTAGCAGGAAGCAAACAGTTAAAAAAACTAAAAAAAAATACATTTTCTTGATTTCTTTCTTTTTCTTGGTCTGTTTCTTGAGAAGAAGTACTTGAGTTTGTGAGTGATGAGTCTCCCGCAGCTCAACAGAATTGTGTACCTGGGTTTTAGACACAGGATGTCTTCAGGCAGCAGGTACGGTGCCTCTTTCTGACGACTTTCTATGACCTACAGAAACACAAGAAGCATTCTAAACACAGCTGCACACAAACAACATCCCTCATGTCCACACTCCCCCAGCCCACCTGGATGACATGCTGACGGAGCAGAGGAGGTGGGCCGAGCTGTGACAGCAGGTTGAGGAAACCAGCGCAGATGGCATGAAGGCCACAGCGGTTGAACACGGCCAGACTTGGCTGATTGGACAGAGCCAGCTCCTGAGTAGCCAATCACAGATAGAGTTACAGCAGAGGGAAGCAGAACAGCAAAAACTAAATAAAAATCTCGTCTTCTTACTGGCCTTCGCTCTTCCAGATATTTACGTAGGGCCTACTTATGTTTTTTTTGTTTCTTAGTTTAAACATTTGCTATTTTTCCAACTTTCCATTGTGTCTAAAATGTAGGTTTATAAGATTCACAAATCACTGTATTCTATTTTTATTTACATTTTTACAAACATCTCAACTTTTTCGGAGTTGAGGTTGTAGAGAAGTAGTATCCACCTGCAGAGCTAGGACCAGCTGGATGAGATCCACCACGACCTCCTCGTTGACCAGTTCCACACTAAGAACAGCCAGCAAGGTGAACAGCGCCTGGTAATGACTGCGCCCATTAGTCTCCTCCTTACAGGCCAAGTAGATGTGTCTGTATAGACGCTGAGTGTGCTGCACAAACACCAAAAACACACCATTATGGATTCAGGTCTAGGTTTTGTCTTCCTATTGGAGTAAAAACATTAAAAGGTATTGTTGGCTTAATTAATGAATTAATTAGAGCTCAAACCTTTCTCATGAAAAGGTTGTCCTGTCGAGAACATCTGTCCTCCTTCAGCTCCAGCCCTGACACATCAAATGTCACACTGTGAAGAACCAGATATAAGATCAGCCTGTCAGTGGGAGATTGAAACTGATTTGATCAACAACCAATCTGTCACTATGGAGTAGATTCTGATGGAGCAGAGACCTGACTGAGGTGAGCCTGGCGGAGTTGAGACGGCGATCGATGAGCGAGGTGAGGATGGACAGAACAAGCAGGCGAATCTCTGGATCCTCCATCAGGGTGAAAGACAGCAGAGGCTCCAGGAAGGAGGAGGGCAGCGCCGTCAGCAGGTTGCTGCTTTCATAATGCTCCGACACCTGAGCAAGAGGAGGGAACCACTTTCATACTTCTTCTAATATATTTCAGAATACAGATCTTATTTTCATTAGCATGATCCAAGGCACGGACCAGCCAAAGAAAAAAAGTTTCATATTTTATTGGACTGTCTTTAGGTTTAATTATGGCACACGTTTTATTTCTGTCATGGGCTGCATTATTTCATCGTTTCATTAACTTTTTTTCAAATATCTTGTATTAATGAAGGGAGATTCGTACCACTATTTCACAATTTGAGCCAGATGAATTCTATCATCTTGTAACTGACTTGTGCCAAAATACACTGTTGGAATAATCAATAAACAAAATATGTTGTGTATTTATTGAAATGTCCTTGTGGCCTGGCTTTAAAAATCAGGTTTTCAGAACATAAAAGCAAAATTCGTACTAAAGATGAGAGATCTCCTGTTGCCAGACAGCTGGTCATGATTCCTCTGATGATGACCATGATTCAGCTGGTCATTCCTTGAAGTTTCAAGGTATAGAAGTTGTTCCTCCTCTCAAAAGAGGAGGCGATAGAGATAAACTTCTGATACAAAAGGAAGCATTCTGGATCCACTCTTTACAGATTGTTAACCCTAAAGGACTCAATGAAGAACTGGTGCTGAACTGCTTTCTGTGATTTTTGTCCTTCTTGGTAAAACATTTTTTTGTAATTTTTCTGTGATTTCATGTATTCCTATATGTAAATTATTTCATGTATATTATTGAAGTCTCCTAGCTGTGCTTGTTAGTCACAGTCTGTGACTCACAGATGATTCTTTATTGGGCTGATTACCCAACCTGTTTGTGACTGGCTTAGGTGTTTTTTTTTATTTACCTCTTTATGTAGATTTGTAGATTTTCTGCTCTGTAACGAGTTGATGACGGCATGTAGCTGAAACGCGCCCTTTTTTTCTGCCCTTATTACGAACCCTGCACACGAAGCGTAAGCGGGAGTCATATTGTTTTTGTACTATTTATTTTTATTTATTTATTTATTTTCTCCGGAGGTTTTTGGTCAACCGTAGCACAAAAACGGCTGCACCGGTCAACATGAAATTTGGCAGGACTGTAGATGAGTCTGACCTACACTGCGCCAGCCAACG